TTGTCAGTTTTCTTCCTAGAGAGGTGTTCTTGCCATAGACCTTTTAGGTAGGTTTCTTGTATTTAGTCACCAAAATAGACAAGAAAAGTGTTTTGAAAAGGAAAAATAAAACAAGTGGTAGCTTCTGCTCGCTCTGTTGGTTAGGGAACCAGTGTTGTTAAGGAAAGTGTATAGACTTTATTATTATAAAAACAAAAAGTTTTTGCGAATATCTGTTTTTTGGGTTGGCAAAAGGATCAGCGGAAAGAGTTAGGTGACAATTGTAAATTTATTTATAATTTGTATTAATTAATTTTTTAATATAAATAAATAAATATTTACCTATTTTATTATAATAATTTTGTAAGATATTGATTTCTGAACCAATTTACTTGAACAAAACATATATGCTTTTATTATAATTATTTCTATATATCATTAATATATACATTCAATAAACTATTTTTCTAATAATCAATATATTACAATCTTTAATAAAGAACAAATGATCAAAATTATCGAAAGTATTAGTAAAGAAAATTTATTGCTATTGTATCAAATGCTAAAGTAGCATTATTAGCTACTAAATGACAAGTAACAAATAAATATACTCATATAATTGCAATTAGATACATTGTGCATCATATTAATCCTGTTACAAAAAATATTAAATCTTTAGAATGATCAAAAAAAAATACTACAAAAATGTTAACAAATTATTAGTTTTTTTTATATGGCACATCGTGCAGGAGAAGCACTATGAAATAAAATTATCATATCTCTAGATTTAGCAGCCTAAGCCAACTAAGAGCCTATGGAATGTCTGCTGAAGAATTTAGGAGTCACACTCCACTAGGCCTAAGGTCTCCAGGTTTGATAGTCTGTATTAACCATAGGACTCTTGGAACATTTATTAGGAAGTATAAAGTAGTAAGCTCCATGATATCTGATATGTGTATTGTAAATAAAGTAATAAAAACTCTAGTGATAGTCAAATAGGCAAAAAAAAAAAAAAAAAAGCCATCTATAGTCCATTCTTGAGTATGAACCCACCTTCATGATGTAAAGTTGGTACTTGAGTTAGAATAAAGGCAGTGCATCAGTTAAACTAGACTGTTTAGTAATAGTTATTTGTAATAGATCTATAATAAAATTCTTGTGTATATTGCACTTTAGCTTTTAAAAAAAATGAAATGAAATTATCAAATTATTTATATATGGTGGTAATTTAAAATCTTTTGTTAAAACACAATCGAGTACTAATATTTAAGTAAAAGATATATAAAGAAAGTTTATTAATTTATTTTATTTAATAAAATACTAAATATAGTATATACTATACATGTTGCTGAAATTCGTAGATCCTTGACGCAATTGACGCAATTATTTGACGCAATTAATTGAGTCACTATTAAAACATATAAATAATTAAGTCATGATGCAATTATTTTTGAGGATTTTGGGAATTGAGTCAACAGCAAAATAATTTATATCATATGTATATCCTATACCACAAGCCATTATGGTTTCTCAAGATTCTATAAGCAGCAAATAACCAATTAAGACAAGTTTATTAATTATAGTGATGCAATTGCAAGTATTACAAGTTCATACAATATTGATAGTTACTTCCTACTTTAACTAGCTAAATCCTTCTTATTTATACCTGTCACAACGCGTATGCTGATCTACTGTCACGTTCTGCAAATTCCTACTTAAATTATTTAGACTTCTTAATACTGAGTTCAATGAATCGTGCCATGTCATGTGACAAACGTCGATCCCAGTGACCTATACCTTTTCCCTGCTAACACTTCCTCATGCTACTCTTGTACATATCATCATTTCATATCATTGGTTTGGAATATCAGTTCAGAATTATCTAGGATTTTAGATTATTCATCCTAGTCACTAGCTGATGTTTGCTTGTCATTACTTGTGGTGGTGGAGTATCAGATAGTTGAATAATACTGGTTGGATTAGCAGTACAGTTAATTTGTTGTTGCATACTTGCTGGTCTTGATTCGATATTGTATTTTCTGGCTTCTTATCCTTTATCATGTAGTGTATTGGGGTTTCCACAACCAGGGTGGTTTGTTTGCTTGCTTGCTCCTATGTCTTTATTGGGATTATTGATCTGAAACTGGCACGCCATCCCATTTATAGCTTCTATATCCAATCTCTTGTGGACTATGTCATCCTTCATCACTCTTATTAATGTTAACCCATGTGTCACGCTAGTTTTTGTTTCGCAGTTTCAATTGTTTTTACTGGAGTTTCACAGTACATCACGTGATGTCTCAGGGCTTCAAACGTATTCACAGTATGGTGCTTCGTGAGCCTGTTCAACTCCATATTTCTTTTAATCAATCCAGTCCTAGTGGTGTTAGTAACTACACACATACTACTATTAATCAGGATTATAGTATTCATTTTCAACCTTATCCCTATGGGATTTAGTCTCAACATCATCAATTTTTCCGTGATCTTGCATCGGTGTGAGATCATTGGCTGTTGGCATTCTCAGGTGGATTGTAGAGTCTAATGGTTGTCAGTGCGCATGGTTGTTTCATTTTGATCGGAATTGCTATTGTTCTGTTATTCGGGGTATTGCTATTGCTATTGCAAGTACATTGCATCAATTTTTCGTGCTTAGGTTTCAAGACGGTATTCTCAGTTACATTTGTGCGAAGTTCTTTTACTGGACCCTCTGTCCAAACCGTCTCACAAATTATTATTATCACACAATGTGCTAATTTTATAAAGATCTCAGAGTGTGCCTTTATTCGCTTTCTTCTTAACTTGCAGCCAAGTATGTTTATTAGTTGCTGCCCCGGTGTCGTGATGTTACACAGCCTGAACATCTCATCACCTGATGCATGCATCTCCCACGTAATTATTAACATCATCTTTCTTTTTACGATTCTTTTTCTCATATCTTGACTGTTCTTGTACAGCTTTTATTCTATCGGGGTATCATATTCAGTATCGACTATTTGTTGCATTACCTCAGAGCTTCCTATCCCTTGAATTATTCTTGTGTAAGTGTCCTGATATCATCTTGCTATTTGCTCTTTCCCCAGGTTATCATTGGCTTTTATCTCTTTTCTTGCGATTTGATCTCCATCACATACTTTTGAAGGTTGATTTACTGAAGCGGCATCTTGTTTTTTTGCTAATGCTGTTTCTATTCGTTCATGTCGGTCTTACAGTTCTTCTTTAGTCTCTTGCATTATTTTTTGACTGCTTGGGACATCATTATTACATTGCACTATATCACACTCAGGTTTTTGAATAGTACTTGTGATCGCATTCTCATACTTGATCAGGAGTTCTTTTATGGAATGCTTTGTCCACATCATCTTGTAAATTGTCATCATTGTGTGAAGTGCTAATTTAACAAAGACTTCAGAGTGGATTTTCATAAGCTTTCTTCTAAATCCTTGTATAAGTACTTCTATTAGTTGTTGCCATGACTTAGGGATGCTATGAAATCTAGGAGATTTATCTTTCAGCATTCTCATTTTTCATGTGATCGTAAGTGTCATTTTCCTTTGATTATCTCTTTCCCATTTTCATCATGTGGTATTGGCAGCTCTTCCCTTTGCACAGTGTCTAGTTCTTTCGTAATTGTATTTATTGACTCGCATTGTCCTTCTAGTCCCTCTTCTTTCTTCTCATCAATCTTTTCTTAGTTCTCGTGTGTTGTCGGCAGTTCTTCTATTACTGCAATGTCTTTCTCTTTCACAATCATTTCTTTTATTGGTCCATATTGATCTTTTGGCTCATTCACATTCTGCTTCTTGATTTTATTGATCTCATTATTCCTTTCAGTTACTGTCAGTGTTTCTTCTGATTGAAATGACCATGTGACTGGTTCCGGAGTCTTCAGTTGTGCTTCATCATCAGAGTCAGGACTACTACTCACTTTTTGTAACACTTCTTCTTCGTCATCATTAAAGGATATCAACCATACTTCATCCTTATCCGTTTTCCCTTTCTTACACAAACTTTCATTTCACCAAGTATTCCCGTCAGGTTCCTTATCATTGATCTCATCAATTAGTACCTTCTTGGTTTCATTATTCAAGATTGGAGCCTTTATTGGATACTCCTTAGTGGTTTCCTTCCAGTAGCTACTGACACCATAATCTTTCTCATACTTCCAATAACCTCGGTCTTCTCTTGTTGGTTTCAGTTCCGGTGTAATCTTCTTTCTTCATATTTGATCTTGTAACTTTTGCACACAGTCCTCTAATTCTTTTATCTTATTCACTTTCCTTTCCTCATCATTTTTGATTTCCACTGCTATCCTGAGAGCTTCTTCTGGATCAGTTGCATTCGTTACGGCCGGTAAAGACAATATGTCCTTTTTTAACCTGGTCATGAGCAGCCATTCTGTCAATTTCCTATAGTAGTTTCCATTAGGGTAGACTTTCTTAAGTAGTTTCTCGAACCTACAGGTGTACTCAATTATTTTTTCATTTTTCTCCTGCCGTATGTTTTCTAGTTCTTTTTGCCACTGGTGCTGTTGCTGTTCACGCATTACAAAGTGTTTCACGAATACTGGTGCGAAACTTTCCTCGCGATCATATTTCTCATCCCACCTGGTAAAATGATCACTATTCTTATCATACTAGTTTAATGCCACTTCTTCTAGATACTCACCAATTTTTCTTAGTTTTTTATCGTCCATCCAGTTATTATGGTTAGCAGCTTGGTCATAGAGTTTTAGCCACAACCACAGATCCTCTCCTGCTTCACTTCTAAATCTGTACTGCCTTCTTTGCTTCAATTTTTTTTCTCCATTCTCTTTTGACTTGACTTTCCATTTCTGGCTTACACGTATGTCCATCAGTCTTCTTGGGGCATCTAGTCGTAAGAAAGTGGGCAGGCTAACTTTATTATCCATTGTGTCATATTCTGTATCATACTTTGTTAATTATCAATTGACTATCACAGTTTGTTACAGGTCTTGCACAGGTGTAAAGAAGATAAAGTCTTGTTTTGGTAAATAATGTGTTTTTCAATTAAGGTTTAATTAACACAAACTGTTTTCTAAAATCAGTGTAACTCTTGTTCACACAATTTTATCAGGGAGTAACAAACGTTGTTTCCAATTGGATCTACTTTGGTTCTCCACCAAATGTTATCAGTACACAGCGAATCTGTTGTTAATTCAGACTAGGTCATTGTGTAACAATAAGTATATAAAGCTTGTATTGCTTGTTAACCAGAGGCACTTGTTAATAAACTTCTTTCTTTCTAGTCACTGGTCTAATTCTATACCACAAGCCGTTGTGGTTCCTCAAGATTCTATAAGTGGCAAACAACTAATTAAGGCAATTTTATTAATTATAGTGACACAATTGCAAGTATTACAAGTTTATACAATATCGATGGTTACTTTTTACTTTAACTAGCTAAACCCTCCCTATTTATATCTGCTGTGATGCACATGCTGATCTACTATCGTGTCTTGCAAATTTCCACTTAAACTATTTTGACTTCTTGATGCTGAATCCGATGGATCACGTCATGTTATGTAACAAACATCGATCCCAATGACCTATACCTTTTTTCCTGCTAACAATTCTATAAGTTCTATCTTAGTATTATAAAAGAAATTATTTATGGCAATAAATTTCTAAATATCAGAAATAATATGATATATAAAAGATAATCTGTATAAAATATATAATACTAACTTGTATAAGTTTGAATTAGTGACCTGTGGGTCTATAGCACAATGGTTAATGCTCCGCAGGTCAGATCACAAGATAATGGTTCAAATCCTTCAGAGGGCTAACGTGGAAACCTCAAACCGAAAGAAATGGATCGGCATTTTCTAATCGCCGTCACAAGATACCAAGTTCAGTTCCAGATAAAGGTAACTGGACCATCTCAAGATGATATCTGGCGCCATAACCTAACATGCGCTGTTTCCTATAAGAAGTCAATTCACACGTTGATTCAACGGGCATTAGGATTGTGTTATTAAGAAAGGTGTAATGGTGTAACGATCGTCTGGCAGTGTTACAATGATCATCGTCAAGTTTGGTGCTTTCCCCGTTTCTCATGCATGGAGCACGCTTCCTTACCCCTTTAGTCCATGAGACTATAAAAGAAACAACTTGATTTTTCAAAAGACCAAGCTAGAGCCACAAAGACTCCTTGTTGGATATAGCTAGTCCACGGCTGATCGTATTAGGATACAGTTCTTTGAGTTTCTATTCATCAGATGGTGGGTGGAACTAGAAGGCGCATATCCTGGCACATTAGCACTCTACCTATGCTATCAGGACCCTGGTGTTGATAATATAGGAAGAATGGAGGGCAATAAG